ACACCTTGTTCTCTCAGATTCTCCAGCATCTGCAGTTCCTACTATCTCCGTACACACTAATCCCATTTTCCTGGAGGAGATGAGTCATAGAGTCATGATTTGTGCAGCACAGAAACAGATTCTTCAGTCCAACTCATCCATGCTGACCAGTAATTCTAAATCTAGTCCCAATTGCCAGCATTTGACCCATATCCCTCTAAACCCTTCTAATACATGTACCCATCCAGATGTCTTTTAAATGTTGTAACTGTAACAGCCTCCACAACTTCTGCTGGCAGCTCATTTCATACAAACACCACCCTCTGAGTAAAAAGGTTGCCCTTTAGGTCCAGTTTAGATCCTTCCCCTCTCACCTTAAACTGTTTACCACCTTAATAACTTTCATTTGAAAACTCCTTGATCATTAATCCAAATCGTTAATATACAAAACAGCAACGGTCCCAGCATCAAATCCTGTGGAAGCCCACTGGAAGTCACAGTCACAGAAACATCCCTCTACCATTACCCTCTGCTTCCTGATTCTTGGCCAATTTTCAGCCCAATATGTCACTTTGGCTTGGATCCCATGGGGTCTTACTTTCTTGATATGTCTCCTATGAGGGACCTTTTCAAAAGTCTTGCTAAAGTCCAAGTAGACCATATCAAATACATTACCCTCATCGACACTCGTGGTTATCACCTCAAAAAATTCAATTAAGTTTGTCAAACACAACCTTCCCTTAACAAATCCATGTTGACTGTCCCTGATTAATCCATGTCTGTCCAAGTGCAGATAGGTTCTGTCCCTCACAATTCTTTCTAATAACTTCCCCACCACTGAGGTGAGACTGACTGGCCTGTAGTTTCCTGGTCTGTCCTTTCCTCCCTTTTCAGTAATGGGACAATGCTAGCAGTGCTCCAGTCCTCCACCTGTGGCCAGCAAGGATTTGAAAATTACTCTCAGGGCCCCTGATATCTGCTCCCTTTGAACCCTCAACAGCCTGGGATATGTTTCAAACAGGTCTGTGAATGTATCTATTTGTAAAGCTACTAAACCCACCAGTACTTCCTCTCTCTCAATGTTAATTTCTTCTAATATTTCACAGTCGTCCACTCTGATGTCTATACCTGCATCATGCTTTTCCATTGTAAAAACTGATGCAAAACATTCATTGAGAACTGTGCCCATATCTCCCAGATCCACACACACATTACCTCTATGATTCCTAATGGACCATATTTTTACCTATTTACTTTCCATAAGACAGTAAGAAACAGGAACAGGAATAGGCCATTCAGCCCCTCAGGCCTCCTCCACAATTTAAACAGATCATGGTTAATCCAACATTCCATACGTGCACTTTCTTGTGTTTTCCCAATTACCCAAGATTCTCCTATTTTTGCTCTTTATATATATATTTTTTAAATCCTTTGGGTTTTCCTTTATTCTATTTTCTCATTAACTCTGCTTGCTGTCCTCATTTAAGATTAAGATTACCCCTTGCACCTTTTGTAACCTCTCGGTACTCTGCTGTATTGAGCCTTGGGTATCTGCCATAAACTTCACCTTTCTTCTCAATCCTAAACTTTATGACTCCTCACATCCAGGGTTCTGCTGTTTTAGTCCTACACTTTCTCTTTACAGAAACATATTTTCCCCATACTCCTGCTGCTTCCCCCTTGAATGTCTTCCACTGCTTTGACAGATTTATCTGCAAGTAGGTGCTCTCAGACTACTTGGGCCAAGTTATATCTTATCTTAGTAAACTTAGCCTTAACCAGGTTATAAGTTTCCTTCTTGGCCCATCCTTATCCTTTTCCATAACCATCCTACATGTAACTAAGTTATGGTCACTATTTCCGAAAGATCCCCCTAACTGATATGCCTTCCACCTGCGCCCATGGTAGTAAGGCTGTTCCTTATTGGGCTCCATTGCACCAGTTTAAAAAAAGTGCTCCTTGATACAATTTAAGAATTTTGTTCCCTCTCTGCCTTGAACACTAAAACTATCCCAGTTAATAGTTGGTTCATTAAAATCCTTTATGAAACTAATAAATCCCCTCCCACTATTGCCTTTCACCACTCCACCCTCCCCTACCCCACCCACAATGCCCAGGCCTTGGCTCTGACAGGCCTCAACAGAGGAACAGTCATTCTCACTAATTTACAAGACTGAACAGCATTTTGTAAATAGAATGTACTTGGATGATTCCCTCACAACCTACCTGGAGCTTCTGACTGGAGTTCCCCATTCCCGTTCTCTACGTATCCTTAATCTGTGGGTTGGCGATGTTTGTGCTATCCACCAACCTCTCAGCCCTTCATCAATGTACCGTTGTGCCCCAGAGTTTGAGTTCCTCCTGCTGGAGGGACCTCTGCACAAGGTCATCCTGATCCCCAAGAGGATGTAGGATTTTCCACAGATTGCGAGATGTGTAAATCATGGGCCTAAGCTTCCCAGACTCACCTTAACCAAGTAGAATATGGTTACTTGCTTTTATTTAGCCTTAGTCCTAGCGGAATCTTCTTCTTGCTTACATCCTGAGCCCCGTCCATTGCCATTCTGTCCGAGACACTGATACATCCCTACAATAAAACACTGAGACACCCAAAAACATTGATAATCCCCATATCACTGGTATACCTCAAACAATGATATATCTTCCCACTGAAAGAACCTTCACACTGGTATGCCGCAAACCCTAAAATACTGGGCCAGCCTCAATGCTAATACACTTCCAACACTGATACACCCTCAGCAATGATACATCTCTCAACTCTCATACACCATTGGTACTGAAAGACCCTGTAATGCTGAAACCATCCTAATTCTGAAACATGCAAATTAGTCAATAAAAGACAATAATACACACACACACACACACACACACACACACAGTCATTCACTCACTTACTCATATACACCCAGTAGTGCTGTTGGACGTCCAATGGATGCCCCCATTATGCTACATACTGAAGACAACAGACCCCTTTATAAAATATCTTGCACTGCTCTCAAACTGCTGCATGTTGCTGGATCTCTCAGGCTTGGCCATCAGAAAGCACACACTGAATTGGATTGACTGCATCTACAGGCTGATATCAGGGATGAGAGCTGACATCAAGTCAACACTCTGCACAATCACCAGCCTCCAAAACAGCACAGCATGTTCACACCTACATGATTGATCTGGCTCCTGATGTTAAACTAGTTTACATAGTGACTGACAGATAATCAGCCTGGAAAGGGATTGTAGGTGGAAGGACTGAAAGATTAGTATGTGAGCATTGTGCGTGTAGACCACTTTGCATTTATTTGTTCTGTCTGGTGGAAGATAAGGACTATATAATACTATTCACACTAATAAAATCAGAAAGTATTGTCATTTATCTCTTTTAGTGTTCTGGTGAACTTACTACCTACAATATGTTGCTGTTCATTACATCAAGATCTTAAGACCATAATAAATAGGAACAGGAGTATGCCATTCGACCCCTCGAGCCTGCTTCACCGTTCAATAGGATCATGGCTGATCCAACAGTCCTCGCGCCTACTTTCCTGGCCTTTCCCTGCAACCCTTGATTTCCCGACTGATCAAGAATCTATCTATCTCAGCCTTAAATACACACAAGGAATCTACCCCACAGCTCACTGTGGCAAAGGCTTACAAAGACCCTCAACCGTCTGAGAGAGGAAATTCATTCCCATCTTAGTCTTGTTTCAGTATCGTTTTAGAACTGTGGCCACAATGAAAAAGATGCTTGCAAAGGGCTTTATGCAATCTTTCATTTTTACTTCACTCTTGGAATGTGGCAACGTTGGCTGGGTCACCATTTATTGACCATCTCTCATTACCCTTGAGATAATTATAGTGAAACAGCATTTTGAACCACTGTAGTCCATGCAGTATAGATACAGATATATTTATAGGTGCATTTTCCTGCAGCACTTTGATACAATTGGTTGCTGGCTCCACCATGTCAGACAGCAGTCAAGTATAAGTCGCATAGCTGTAGTCCTGACCAGGTAAGAACGACAGATTTCCTTTCTTAGAGGTCAAAGTTGAACTCGATAGAGTGTACAAGAAACCAGAAAATTCATGATCGTCATTAACAAGTCTGCTATTTTATCCAGACTAGTTAATTAATTGAATTTGAATTCCCTTCATCTGCCATGAAAGAATTTGAATTCATGTTTTATGGAGC